GAAAAGCATAAAAAGTCATAAAAAATCATCAGCTTTCTGCCCCTATCATCCCACTTCACAGACTATCTTAAGGAAATAATCCAAAATGGGGGGGGGGGGGGCGGAGAGGCAGGGGGGAAAAGTTCATAGTGAAAAAATGGTTCAGAAAAGTAATCTACTCAATGGATTAGCCATATAGCAACATGGGAAAATACTTAGTTTGCTAATAAAATGTCTTTGTACAGTCACAATATTCAACTTTTTTTTTTTGAGTCAGAGTCTAACTCTGTCACCCAGGCTGGAGTACAGTGGCATGGTCACAGCTACCGCAGCCACAACCTGCTGGGCTCAGATAATCCTTCTGCATCAGCCTTCCAAGTAGCTTGTTCTACAGGCTCATGCCATCATACCAGGCTAATTTTTTGAATTTATTGTAGAGACAATGTCTCACCATTTTGACTAGGCTAGTCTCAAACTCCTGGGCCCAGGCAATCCTCTTGCCTCGGCCTCCCAAAGTGCTGCGATTACAAGCATGAGCCACTGTACCCAGCCACAAGACTCAATATTAAAACATGACAGCTGTGAAGTCCTGTACTTCTGCTATGATGTCATGGATGAATTCAAGCACCAAAGGGGAATGTGGTGACTACAAGAAAGAGCTCTAAATGAATGCATAATTATTCTAAATAAGTATTTATCAGTAAGTGTGAATAAGTGTGAAATTCCTTGGCATTTTTTACATAAGTGGGTAGTTCTAATTTTAAAGTTGCCATTTTAAAAATCACTCTCAGAAACATTTGTGTACAGCTAGAAAGAATAATAAGCAATTAATAATTGTGCTTTTGTGTACATCTATATTCTCAAAGATAATTATTTAATTAAGGACTTCTTCACAAGTGAACCAACATGAAAATAGATAATAAGCCTTATTTCCTGCTGTGAACCTCAAAATATAATGATAAAATGTAAAGAGATGCCATTTAAGAGTCTGTAAGAAGACTAAGCTTCTTAAAAAACAGTTCTGGAAACAGATGCCAAAATCAAATTTCATGATTTTATTATTCTTTTCTTGATATAAATGGTAACCAGAATCTACTTGGAGGTTTCTCATACTCATTGTTTAATTTTAAAACAGATATGGAGGCCAGGGGCAGTGGCTCACGCCTGTATTTAGAAATCAAGGCTAGAAGATCGCTTTGAGTCCATGGGTTCTAGACCAGCCTAAGCAACATAGCAAAACCTCATCTCTACACAAAATCAAAAAATTAGCCAGGCATTATGGCATGTGCCTATACTCCCAGCTACTTGGGAGGCTGAGGCAGGAAGATCCCTTGAACCTAGGAGGTCAAGGCTATGGTGAGCCATGATCGCGCCACCACACCCCAGCCTGGGAGACAGACTGAGATTCCAACTCAAAAAAAGAATTTAAGCCGGGCTCGGTGGCTCAGCCTCTAATCCCGCGCCTTTGAGAGGGTGAGGTGAGTGCATTGCCTGAGCCTGTGGGTTCGAGACCCACCTGGGCAACTTGGCAAGACCTCATCTCCACAATAAATCAAAAATTAGTTGGGCGTGGTAGCACACACCTGTAGTTCCAGCTACTCGGAAGGCTGAGGCGGAAGGATCGCCGGAGCCCAGCAAGTCAAGGCTACAGTGGCCGGGAGCGGCCACTGCACTCCAGTCTGGGCGACAGAGTGAGACTCCAACTCAAAAAAAAAAAAAGAATTTAAAAAATAGATATGAAAACATAATACCATGATGGAATCTCCTGTCTTCCATACTCTATGCAATTCAAGAAGAACTATGTGCTTCGCAATATAAAGAATACAAAACAACCATGAGACACAGTTCCTGTTCTCAAGGAGATTCCAATCTAGCTGGGGAGACATGCTCAAAAACTCAGGAAGAAACAAGTCTGAACGTAGTGAGTAGTTCAGCTTTGAGAGGCTTAAAAATTACATAGGGCAGCAGAGCAAGACCACACTGTGGAAGACCCCAAACACCAAGGTGAATTTAGACGTTGACAAAGAAGGAAGTATGATGCTGTGAAAATCTTTGAATAAGAAGAGTGACATTAGTGCCCTGTTTAAATCCCTCAACTTCCCATCACTCCCACAATAAAACCTAAATTTCTTAATATAGTTTACAAGATGCTCTTAAGATCTGACCATTCCTTACCTTTCTAACATCACTATGCCACCTAGTGCCACCCTCCCTCTCTTGCCATCCTGGACTTCTCTGTGTTCTTTGGAGATGTCAAACTCCTTTCCACTTCAGGGTTTCTGAACATGCTGCTTCCTCTGCTTGGAACACTTGACAACATCACTTCTTTTGCAAGCATCACTTCTGTTGCAAAGCTCAACAAAACCATAATTTTTCTTTAATATTTCTCCTTTCCACTAGAATACAAGGTCTATAAAAACAGCAGACCTCACCTGTCTTCTTCACCACTGTTTCCCCAGCCCTTAGCACAGTGTCTGGCACAGTGTAAGCGTTTTGTAAATATGTATTGATCTGCTAAAATTAATCTTGGATTAAATTGAACTATTATAATAAGAAAAAAGTTCATCTGGCATCAGGTAATTTGTAGGGTGGGTCAGAAAAAGAGAGACTAATGTCCAGCAAACCAAATAAGAGGTTACTGGAGTGATCCAGGCAAAGGGGAATAAAGGCCTAGACAGAGACTGTAGGAGTAGGAAGAGAAAGGAATGCACAACAATAAGATGCTTCCTAAAAAAGAATAAGTAGGGAAGTTGTGCATAATTAGCTATAAATCATGGAAGGACTATGTTAAGGATTTCTTAAAAATAGGCTAAGGAGTTCAGAGATTAGTGATGATGGTCAAAAAGAGAAAGAAATTAAGTCAGTTTGGAGAAAAAGGGAGTACAAACTTCATTTTGGGATCTTGGTGAGTTTGCAGTACCAGTGGTACACACAAATGTTCAGAAACCAGCCCAAGAAAGGTTATGGTTAGAGATCCAATCTTGGGAGCAGTCAGCATTGAGGAGAGAAGTGAAGCCGTAGGACCGAATGAGCTCCAAAAGGAACAGAGTAGAAAAGAAGGGCTGAAATGCTGATTAAAAATTAAAGTTAGGTGGCAGAAAGAGGAAGGAAAACAAGAGAAGGCAGAGAGTAGTACACAGAGAATAACGTAAATGATGTTGAGAGAATTTCACAGCATAGAATAGTGTTAAAGGTAAAGACTACGGAAGGGTCACGTGATTTGGCAAGAGATCACCATCAACCTTTGAGAGGCAGTATTCAATCTGGGTGGTGATAGAAGCTAGAATGCAGGTGGTGGAGCCAACTCACAGGAAAAGATTTCTGTGGGCAATGAGACCATTCAGGATGACATCTGTTTTGAAAGAAGTTGTTGTAATACAAGACTCCCAGAAAAAGGCAACCTGAGTCAAAGTGTTAGATAATGAGAAAAACAGAAGCCTGAAATGATTGTGCTGCACACACCCAATTGTACATGACACAAGCATAAAAGCCAGTAACTCACCAGGCAGGGTAGGAGGAGGAGCCAAAACAAAAGACATGAGGGGCACAGGCTATATCCATACAGTGGAATGAATGACTCTCACGAGCAATATTGATGGAAAGAAGTCAGCCACTAAAAAACTATGCATAAAAGAGTATTGCACTATAAGAAAATGACTGACGGTACTGGGAAACTATGGGGGGGTAGGGAGATGGGATTAACAGTAGCAAACATCTGTCTGGGGACAGGGAAACACCTCTTATCAACAGGGTGCCTGAATGAAACGTAATTGTATACCTAACCCTTAACTGTACCCCACAACATCATAATAAAAAATAATGATATAAAAAAAGAGTATTGTATGTATGCACGTAATGCATGTAAATCTACAATTCAAAAACAGGCCAAGTTAACATGTGCTGCTAGAAGTCAGGACAGAGATTGCCCTGTAGAAGGAAAGTGGAAAGAGGCCCAACAGTGGCTTCCAGGATGCTGATTGCTCTGTTTATCTATGGAGGTGCTAGTTACAAAAGTGTGTTCACTTTGTGATAACACTTAGGATGCATGTGCTTTTCTGTACACATATTTCAACTAATAGTAAAAAACCAAACCAACCAAACAAACCAAAAATGAGCAGCCTGCTTAAACTAGAATGGTGAGAAGCTCTCCGGCCCACTGGTGGCTGAGATATGAGAGGAGGCTTACATGATCTCTTCTTTACTAAGGGGCTGAGGTCAGCAGTACGTAAGAGATCATACATGTTTTATGTATTATATGTCAAAGGAGCCACCACCAAGTGGCCTAGTTTCTCAGACAATGTTTACATTTGTTTGAATGCCTTGATTTCTAACACATTTCCATTGTTAATTTTTATACATTTGTTGAACCTGAGAGTTAAAACCAGAGAAGATACTTGAACTTCTCCAGTCGGACCTATACAAGTGATACAGCTTGAGTTAAAATGAGAATTTGACATGAGGCAGGCAGAAATGCTGCTTTACTTGTGTTCAGAAGGTCCCAGAGCTCTGCAACTTCATTACTTCTCCAACTGAAGCATTTTATAAAGCATTCCATTTTTTTTTCAACTGCTTCAAGCATTAATCTAGACAGTAGTTTCCGTCACAACTGAATCCAAATAACAATCCCAAATGAGTAATCCTGACAAGCATACATCTTGTCCTTCACATATAATTGCTTATATGACCACACGTTTGATTAATCTAATTTTACTAATTTAAAAGTTATTCAAGTCAGTTAATTTTTATGCTTGGAGGTTATTCAAAGGTGATTATACATAACCCTTTCTGTGTTTTGTACCACATCCCCGTTTAAAAACATTCACAAGAGACAGTCTTACCGCTAAGTACATAAGGTCCCTCCGGTTCCCTAGCTTTGCGAACTTTTATCCCCACAGCATAAAAATGAACATGAAGATTTTGTTCCCTATTCCTTCTACTAATTGTTCATTGATGCCTATTACATTATGGCTATCTCCAAGACTCTAGACAGTCTGAAATATACTAAGTAATTCTATAGTTACCTGTGAAAAGGAAGAAAATCAACACCATGATCATCGTGTACCCAAAATACAAAATGGTGCTTACAATGCCTGTGATTTGAAGTTTGGCAATGAAGTAATAAACTGCATACATAAAAAGATAAACAGCTGTAAAACTGCTGGTAAAAAAGGATCTCCACCACCAATGATAATCCTGCAAAAAGAAGTAGAAAAAAATGACTTTTCATTTGAAACTCTAACAATAAATGAGCTAGCAACTATTTTTTTTTCTTTTGAGTTAGGGGCTCACTCTGTTGCCCAGGTTGGAAAGTAGTGGCACAATCATGGTTCATGGCTCACTGTAACCTCGACCTCCTGGGCTCAGGTCATCCCCCCACCACAATCTCCCAAGTAGCTGGGATATAAGCCCCTGACATCATACCCAGATAATATTTTGATTTTTTTGTAGAGTTGGAGTCTCACTATGTTGCTCAGGCTGGTTTCAAACTCCTGGACTCAAGCATTCCTCCTGTCTCGGCCTCCCAAAGTGTTAAGAGTACAGGCATGAGCCACTGTACCCTGCTAGCAATTATTGTAATAACAAAGAACACAAGATAAACTTCATAAGATTATGGATTAAAAGAAGTAAGAGGAAAAGTTTTACAAGAAATTGAATAAAATATATAATGTATGTCCTACTTGAGGTGTCCTAGCAATTGTCAACTCTTTGTTTCCAGGGATACCACATGTGCCCTCTGGGACTGGACTTCTGTGTGCATCCTGCCTATCATAACAGTGCCTCAGGCCTCGAAGGCATTCACTTCAGCTTCAACCATACCGGCCAGAATTGTGCTATGCCTATCGATGCCTCAGACCAGGTATGAAAAATAGGGTAATAAAGAAATTTAGGCCAGGCATGGTGGCTCATGCCTGTAATCCCAGCACTTTGGGGGTCCAAGGCAAGAGGATTGCCTGAGCGCATGGACTTGTGACCAGCCTGAGCAACATGACGAAATCTCGTCTCTACAATAAAAATCAAAAAATTAGTCTGGCATGGTGGCACATGCCTGTGGTTCCAGCTACTTGGAAGGGTGAGGCAGAAGGATTGCCTGAGCCCAGCAGGTCGAGGCTGTGGTGACTGTGATCATGCCACTGCACTCCAGCCTAAGTGATAGAGTGAGACTCCAACTCAAAAATAAATAAATAATAATAAAAATAAACAAAAAGAAAGAAATTTAGGATAAACCTTGTAGTTAATAAGATTTGCTCTAACTGGCTAAATTCAGGATCATGACTGAAGTCAATACTGCAGGTTGATCTCACCCTGTCCCATAGATTCTTATTGATGATAAAAATTCTTGTAAAGGCACTGTAGCCAAGGACTGTGGGGCTAGACAGTGCAGAAAAGAAGTAACATAGCAGGTCTGAGGCTATCTTTAGGAGGGTTCGCTTGCAAGGTTAGCCCTTGGCTTGCATCTGGGAAATAGGCATTTAATCATTCCCTGACTGATAAAACTGGCTTGCTATACCTAGACTGTACAAACAATGTGATTTATGGTGAACACTTGCTTTCCTTGTGGGAGTCTAGAGTTTCTGTAGTTGCTAGGCAGAAGGTGCCTATGTGACTGGCTCCCAATAAAAAGCTTGGATGCTGAGTCTCTAATGGGCTTCTCTGGGCAGAAACATTGCACATTTATTACTGCATTTTTCACTGCTAGAGAAAGGAGCACATTTGGTGTGCTCCCTAGCAGGAAGGAGACAACAAAGGAAGACTGTGCTTGGATGTCTCCAGGCACCACCTGTGTCTTTTTCCCTTGCTGATCCTATTAGGCATCCTTTCTTTGTAATAAACCCTAGCCATGTGTACATCTATATACTTAGTTCCACGAGTTGTTTTTATGAGTCTCCAAACATGTGAGTGGTCTTGGGGACCCCAAAACATTTCCTAAGAAATAAAGACATAACCATCATATGTTTGCTGTTGTATGTTTCATTAATGATTGCTACAGATCCTCTATGACAAAACGTGCCATAGAATTAATGAGCAGCTAAGAACAACCTAAGTATACTACATAAGTATACTTAAGTATATATATATATATATATATATATATATATATATATATATGATTATGTTGTTTACTCTTATGCCTATAGCATAAGAAGAAAATGCTCTAAGACATATATAAGAATTACTCCTTCAACTCTCTATTATCACCTTTGGAGAGTCATATTTAACAACCAAAATAAGATGGATTGGGGGAAGTTAAGAGAACAATGTACACTACCAGTTTAGTTATCCATTATGACGTCAGGAGGAAAAAAGATGGGTGGTGTAAAAAGAACTATTTATGTCTGTGGTAAACAAAAGGCAACAAAATAAAACAAAGAAAAAGGGCCTTTAGCAGCCACCTCAAACCCACAAAATACAATCCTGACCTAAGCTGCAAAGAAAACTTTAATTATTGAAAAGAAGATATTATTGAACCAGACCTTTTACATGTCTAAATATCAAAACAGTCGCCTATATTTTTCTTTGCCAACAGAATATTATGCAGCTCTTATGAGGGGGGACTCCCCAAAGTGGGATTTATTTATGAAAAATTGTGTATTTATTCTTACATGTTTAAACTTCGGTCACCTTCAAAGTACTCTCCATTTGATGCAATACACCTATCGAGATGCTTTTTCCACTGCTCAAAACAGTGTTTGAACTCGTCCATTTGGATACCTTTTAGTGCTTCTGCTGTTTTTTGTTTCATCTCTTCTACAATGGCAAAATGTTTCCCTTTGAGGACTTTTTTTATCCAGAGATACAAAAAAAATTGCTCAGGGCAAAATTGGATAAATAGGGAGAGTGGGGCACACGGGTCATGCCATTTTGGTCAAAACTTGCTGAACGGTCGGGCTCGGTGGCTCAGCCTGTAATCCCAGCACTTTGGGAGGCCGAAGTGAATGGATTGCCTGAGCCCACAGGTTCGAGACCTGCCTGGGCAACTTGGCGAGACCTCATCTCTACAATAAATCAAAAACTAGCCAGGCGTGGTAGCGCGTGCCTGTAGTTCTGGCTACTTGGAAGGCTGAGGCGGAAGGATCGCCGGAGCCCAGCGGGTCGAGGCTGCGGTGGCCAGGAGCGGCCACTGCACTCCAGTCTGGGCAACAGAGTGAGACCCCAACTCAAAAAAAAAAAATCTTGCTGAACACACAGTGTGATGTGGGCAGGTGCGTTGTCATAGGGGAAGAACCAGCCACCTGTTTGCCACAACTCAGGACATTTCTTCTGCAAATCACAAATCATGATGAAACTTTCTCAAAACATCCAGATAAAAATTTTGGTTGACCATTTGATCCAGAGAAACAAATTCCTAGTGTACTACAAGGAGCCCACCCTCCAAAAGATAATTCTGGGGTTTTTTGAGTCCCCCCTTGTATAGTAACCAGAAAAAAAATTGCTTTCTATTTAAATTTTCTATTAAAATAACATTAACTTGATAGTAGCATCAAAATCAAAATGTGTTATTAGGAATACACAATATAATACCAAACCCAAGTTGTAGAAACATGCGTTAACATTTATTTCAATTCTTTTCTAAACATAGACTAATTCCAATAATGCAAGAATAGAAAGCCTAAGATGCATAGTTTCTTATGTCTTTACCTCAGAACACAAATGAAGGTAGCACAGCAAAATTGTAGCTTCTGAACAAGTAATCAGGAGAATTATAAAGACTAAGAAAAGGAAGCCAAACATGTAGTACATCTGATGAGACCTGAAAATAAAAATGAGGTGTAAAATAAATTTACATTAATAGCACACCCAGAAAAATCAGTCCAAATCTATACTACAATAGATTGTCATACACTTATCTAAACTTTTTTTTCTAAACCTTCAGCTCTTTACTCCAAACTTTCATCTATCCATCTAGTACCAAAAAATATGTTCCCTTACCTATGCAGATTCAGAGTATGGCATATCTTCTCTAGTCAGAAACAGTGTTGCTACTATTTACTCTTGTTGCTCTATTCATATAAGTTAGGTCTCACTTGAGAGTCATCAATATTGCTAAAATTTTCTCTATGTACATTTTAAAACATGCTTTCTCTTTAGAAATGGAAGGTTGAAATGCCATAAATACCAGCAACTACATTATAAAACAGAAAACCACAGAATCAAACACCACTTTGCCTTGGAAGGTCTGTTGACATACAGCCCCTCCAAATATTACTTCATAACACAGCACACATAATTCTATTAAAATATAATTTCAGCTGGGCCTGGTGGCTCAAGCCTATAATCCCAGTACTTTGGGAGGCCGAAGCGAGAGGATTGCCTAAGCCCAGTGGTTCAAGACCAGCCTGGGCAACTTGGCAAGATTTCGTCTATACAATAAGTCAAAAAATTAGCCAGGCATGGTAGCACACACCTGTAGTTCCAGCTACTTGGAAGGCTGAGGTGGAAGGATCACCTGAGCCCAGCAGGTCGAGGCTGGGCAGCAGAGTGAGACTCCAACTCGAAATAAACAAAAAAGCAAACAAACTTTCAAACATACCTCCTTTTAAAAATCTGCATGTGGATTACATTTCAGTCAAACTTTGAGGGATGAAGTAATTCCCTCCATTTTTATAGAGCTAAGCTGCAATGTGAGGTGGCACCATCACAGTCACCGCAGACTCAACCTGCTGGGCTGTGGCGATCCTTCCGCCTCACCCTTTCAAAGTGCTGGGAGTTCAAGTGTGAGCCACCGTACCTGGCCCAGCAGTGTCCATTTTTAAAAGCCCCTGGAGATGAGAAGAACTGATGAACCAATCACTACTCCGTTTTAAAATAGCATGTAAAACATACACCTGAGTGTGAGAATAAGGGATGAGGACTGGGGAGAATCATCTCTGTAGATAATAAATATATACAACATTGTATGCAACAAGTACATTGCTTTTCATTGAAATGAAAATTAATTCGTCTAAAGAATCTTTTAGTTTTGTTTTAAGATTACTTTCCCATCAAAAACATCTGGAAAATATGGTTACTATAATCTATTTTGCAGCACGTTAAATATTTAGTTGCTGACAAGGCAACAGATTTTATTGCTTATCTTTCAAACAAATTTAAGCAGCAATGCTGTTTAAAAGGTGAATAATTAATGTACCTAATTAAGGCTAATTTTTGAAGACTTGAAAGTTTTGTCTGAAAGCTTGCTTTGGAACAAAAGTGTTATAGCAAACAGACAGCAGCCTATTGCATTTTACTTGATTGATGGTTGATTGCCCCTCTCTAAAAAAATCTGTCCACAGAAACACCCCAATTGGCCAGTTCCTCAAACCAAATGATGCAGCCAAGAATCAGGAAGTAAGAAAAAAAAAGGGATGCATAGCAACTGCAATAGCTGTCACAAAGCTAGGGCACTAAAGCGGCCACACTGTCATCAAAAAGCACTAGTTCTTAAATTACATGCATTTCTAATAACAACAGATGAAAAGTAGCAAATGAAAAGAAGAACGGCATATGAAGCAAGCATTTTTGACACCAGAACCAAGAGTTGACCGAAAGGAAGAAGACAGGAAACCATTACTTACAACTCAGTATATGTGAAGACCCAAAGTCAGCGATCTTCACATTATTTTTAGAAGAGGAACTCTAAATGAAATCTCATGAGCAAGGTCAGTATAGAAAACAGATAAAAATCAGAGTTACCACTTCCCATCTTCAGGTAACTTCCCTCCAAGGGACCCCCCCCCCCCAGAAAGGCTC